CTTCGCCAACGGGGACGAGGTCGCGTCTCGCGGAGGGCGAGAAAGAACGCGGGAATCGCCGCGAGTCCGCCGGTACCGATACCGTCCGCGCGATTTAATCACCGTCACTGCGACAGTCGTCGTCGCCGTCGTCGTCGTCGTTGCCGTCGCTGCTCGTCGCGGTGAAGAGATGGCCGCACAAACGCAATCACGCTTCGAAGGGATGATCGCACAAACGTAATCACGCCGCGCTATCGTGAACGCAACAACGTCGCGCTCCGAGGTTGGGATGTCGCGCGTCGAGGCGGTTGAAAAACAAAAGAAAATAGTTTCGCGCGGGCTTCAGTTTAACACAATAGGTCAAAATAACCAGACACTTGAATGTTATTACTAGACACACGTGAATCAAACTATTGGATTAACGTGACATGTATGATTACGATAACCAGAAATTATGTTTAATTCCACCAATACTCCTTTAATCATACATGTCACGTTAATCCAACTATGCTCTTCTTCCTTTGTAGTTATAATAACTAGATGCTTGTATATTATTACTACAAATGCACTAACCAAATTCTAAACGGTATCATACCCAAACATTCTGGTTGCGTACCAGAATATTTGATTACAATAACCAGAAATTCTGTTTATTTCAACCAAAAATTTTTTAACAAAACGCATCTTGTTAATTCAACCATGGTTGTTTTTTCCGTGCGTCGTTTAAAGATATTGAGGATGTCCATAGGCCATCCGTTTTACGTCTTTCGGACATTCTATGGACGGCCATAGTATATCTGTTTATGAAATTGGTGGACATGTTTATATCCCTAAAACATGTCCATAGGATATTCGATGGACGTCCTATGGACATGATACACTGAAAAAAAGGTTTGGTTATAATAACCTAAGGCTTGGTGAAATAGCTTCAACTAAAGGGTTTAGTGATTATGACGAAATATTTGGTTAATGTTAACAAATTTGGTTAATGTTAACAAATTCGGTTAACATTAACCAAATATTTCGTCATAATCACTAAACCCTTTAGTTGAAGCTATTTCACCAAGCCTTAGGTTATTCTAACCAAACTTTTTTTCAGTGTAAAAGGGAACATTTAGAATTGTAATTTACATTAAAAAGATAAAAACAATGAAATATACAGGGTGTCCGAAAAATCGCCTACTCCACTTCGGGAGGTGATTCGGGACCCAAAAACAAGCAAAAAAGTTCATACAAACATAGGTCCGGAAATGAGCCGTTTCCTAGTTATAGCCACTTTTATGTTCAAAAATCGTAATTTAGAATCCGCTTGGCATCCCTCTTTCTTAATTATTTCTTAAATTAAAAATTTTTATTTTCAAATATTTTTAATTTTTTTAATTTTAATTTTTTTCAATTTTTTATTATTTGTAACGATTACATTATTTTTAAAAGAAATCAGTTGTTTTTACGGTTACTTGAAATCAGTTGTTTTCACGGCTATTCAAAATCAGTTGTTTTCACGGCTATTCAAAATCAGTTGTTTTCACGCCTATTCAAAATCAGTAAGTAAATCACGGCTTTTCAATGGCTACGTTTACACCCTGAAATTAGGCCGCGGCCTGTACCTCAAATTCGACCTAAATTATTTAGCCCGCCTGCTGTAAACAGTTGATAGACGACCGAACCTGGCTTCAGATCAGGCCGCGTATTTTAGTGAGCCGACCTGAAATCGGCCGTTATCATTTGCGATGTAAACGCGCGATCAAGCGCGACGCGTCTTAAAGTGACCTAAAAGCTTCATTTGCTTGTTCGGATTCGCTGCAATTCAGGGCGATCCCAAATACGATCCCGTCAATTTTTAGGTTTCTTTCGGTGTAAACGAATGATGACTAGACCTACTTCGGGTCACAATATAGGTCAGGCCGCGATCAGGTCGCTGGGTGTAAACGTAGCCAATAAGTTTCAAATTATTATTTAACAACACCTTACTTTTAGGTTGTATCTAATCTTTCCGTATTCATCAATGGATCGTTTAAGTTTTAATGAATTAGCTGATATGCATCTTATGTATGGTCTTGCTCAAAGTAATGCTGCCGAGGCAAGAAGATTATACATCCAGTCTTTTCCAAATCGAGATGTACCGGGAATAGCGTCTTTTCGAAATGTAGACAGAAACTTGAGAGAATTTGGTAATTGTAATTAAAAAAAATTGAAAATAAAAATTTACGATTTTTGAACATAAAAGTGGCTATAACTTGGAAACGGCTCATTTCCGGACCTATGTTTGTATGAACTTTTTTGCTTGTTTTTATTCCCGAATCACCTCCCGAAGTGGAGTAAGCGATTTTTCGGACACCCTGTATAAATATTTTAAAATAATATATTTATTTTAAAAATTATATAAAATATATACATATATGTATGTATATATTTTACGTATATATGAATGTATCCACACACACACACACACATACACACATTGTTAAACGTATTGCACACGCGTATTGCAAATTAAATAAAGAAAACAGCGCTTTTTTCAAAATAGTTATAAAAACTAATGTGGAAATTTTAATAAGGGTGTTCACTCAAATTTAGTAAAAAAAATTCCCACATTTTCTAGAAATTTTACTCCAAATTCACACTTTTACATTGTTTAAAAACAAAAATGACTCAAAATGAGCAAAAGTGAAATAAATTTACAAATTGCATGTGCAAATGCAAATGTTTACAATGAAGAATGTTTTATTTTATATTGCTTCTTTCTCTGCCCTTTCTTTTGCACATCTCAGAATTTTTAATGGCTTGCTCAATTTCTTTTCGATATATACAGGAACTCTAATATATGAGAGACTTCTCATTACGAACCCGGCTCACATTTCTGTATCTTATTAATGGCTGAACCTAGTTTTAAATTATCAAAATGTTTATTTTTCTTCAGATAACGTACTGATAAAAGTAAACATAAATTTAAAACCAAGGGCGGCAAAAAGGAGATATATGTCTCGAAAGTAAACACGAAAGTCAAAATCTCATTATTTAATTATAAGTTTGATGAAAGCGAAAAGGAATTAGTTCAACTCCATCAAGCTCTTAGTAATGTCGTATATAGCAATTCAAAAGATATAATTGCTAAGTGTTACAATGTGTTACAATAATACATATAAGAATTAGATATGAATTTTCTGTAACATCTATTAATGCTCGTATAATGGTCTTACTTCTCATTATAATTGCTAAGGTTGAACCAGTATTAGAAGCGAAGATATCAGAAATAGTCATCTCAATTTTCAACAACATGAGCCGTTCCAATTATGAGAAACTATTTCCCGAAGAAGCATGAATTGTCTGAGTCTTTGAGATTCGTTATTGCAAGATCACTTCTTACATGCTGCGAAATTAAAGAATAGGATTAACGAGATTCCCACTGTCCCTACCTACTATCTAGCGAAACCACTGCCAAGGGAACGCGGGCTTGGAAAAATTAGCGGGAAAAGAAGACCCTGTTGAGCTTGACTCTAGTCTGGTACTGTAAGGCGACATGAGAGGTGTAGCATAAGAGGGAGATGGCAACATCGCCGAAATACCACTACTTTCATCGTTTCCTTACTTACTCGGTTAGGCGGAGCGCGTGCCCCGCGGCGAGGGCTTCGTGCCCCGGCGGTCACGGTGTTCTAGAGCCAAGCGTGTCAGAGAGACTAGAACTTTTATTATATAACAGTTTGAGAAAGTCAGTGATATAAAATTTATTTTAACTAAGTAATGGTAGACATTAATATTTATAGAGTGTCGCAGCGTAATGGTGTAACGGTTGGTCGACTAAAAATGGCTCTGTATTATTTTAAATATTAGTAGACTAGTTATAAGATTATCAAGTAGTAAATATTGCAACAATTACACTTTGTGTTTTATACCTCTTTTTCCATAGTTTTATCCATAATTACATTTATGATTTATAATTAATAATTTCCTAATTTAAGTTTTATATTCTATTTAAGTTTTAAAATATAAATTTACTATTTGAAAAGCGAGCAGCTAAATAAGCTATAATTTTAATATTTTAAAAACAATACATAAACGTTTTAGAACAATTTACTAACTTGTATTAATATTACTTTAAACAAAATAATAAATTAACAGAATAACAAAACCGATAGTTTGTTAGATGAACAGAAAAAAGTTAATATTTCCTTCTGTGAAAACAAAGTTTGAAAATAAAAATTTAAAAAATGACCTTTTTAATATACATTGATATTTGCTTGATTTGTAATCACCGCAGTAGCCTTAAATTCTGCGAAATACCTACGAGTTAAATTTTTGAAACAAATTGATATTAAACTAAGGTACAAAACCAGACATAATACTCTTATTTCCTACGAAAGAATTAAACATTTTATTCTTTCATTAATTATACACTTATAATTTTATTCTAAATATATCGTAGTACTTCTCGATTTATACATTTTCTATATATGTAGAATTATTTATTTACCACATTAATTTAATGGAAGATTAATTTGTACTTGAATGTACACACTTTTATTAATAAATATTTTTTTTACTGAAATAGAATATTATACTAAAATATAAAAATAGAATATATCGCATTATACCCATCTTGGAATAAAAACTTGTCTTTTTCCGTACAAGGTTACGATCTGAATTAATTATTTAGGATATTCGTCGAAACTTCATTTAAATGTAAAGAAGGCCAAAGTTTTATAAATCAGAGAGGGAAAAAAGACTGTTTACTAAACAGAAACATGAAAATAAATGAGATGAGAGTTCGAGAGTTCGAGAGACCAGATGCCTATATATACGCTTGATCAATTGACAGGCATCAGTCTTGATACACATCTTGATACACATCATATCGTATAATTGCTAGGGCTGTTCTCTGACAGTGAAGTGTTGGAAAGTTTGTAAGAAAAACTCTTTTAATTTGGATAATGTTTAATGCAATTTTTTCTTTTACGGTAATAGCAACATGTGTTGCTATAACTGTAGCGGACGTACGT